TCACCGTTCATTCGATTTACTCTTATATGATATAGTGTGTTCGAAGTTTATAACTTAAAGCAACAGCCGATGTTCGATATATTAAAATTCTACCATGACTCCGAGGCCTCAGATTCAAAATTGCCAAATTTTTCACGACTCCATTGTCTCGCATTTATCAGAAGAGACTTGAGCACAAAGAAAATCACCCCAAATATAGAAATTATGACCAGAAAGCCTCGGAGTCAGTTAAGAGTTTTTAATGTATCGAACGTCGGCAAGAGTGGGCTATTATCTTTAGCTGTTTTCATATGCGTGACTTTGACGTCATCACTAGCCCTTCCATTGGACAATTATAACTCTCAAGTAGGCCTCTAAAGCTGGGTTTTCTTAACAGTATACTGGGCGTCTTATTAGATCCCACCAGTTAGAATGATTACACTCGATTACTTTATCTTTTGGTGATGTGAGAAGATTTCTAGTTGGTAAAAACAAACATATATCTGTACATGCAAAAAGGTTGTTTTTGGATTAAAAAAATAAAGCTAGACATTCTCTGAAACTTCCGTATTAGCATGTGCGCAAAAGCTTTGGGGTAAGACACCGAAAGAACTTTTAAATTTATGGGCAATGTTTCCTGAAGGGTTTATTTCCAAGTCTTAGGATTTCAAGGGGCATTTTCATTTTCTGAAATATACTTATGGAGCAGAGAACAGCTCACGTTTGCATCCAGGCAGGAAGATAAGTTGCAGTTGAAAATGTTTAGAAGCCTCTTTATATTTCTTTTACGAATTCTGTTACCCTACAGAAAACAGAGCCAAGCACAAGATTCTCAGTAACAATTGCTTGTAACACACTGTCAATTGTTTTCGAATTCTATGTTATGAACTTAAACTCTATTTACATTGCATGACCGACAAATTAAACGCGTAACGAACACCAATTTTTTTAATTCGTGGGAACCTACATTAGCATGGCCGTGACTCTAAGGATTCTGGGAACGAGAATTTTCTAGACCTTTCCACACCTAGCTTGAAAGATGACGCGCGGGAGAAGGTCCGTGAGGACTGACGATGTTTAGCCACTTGAGAAGTTAAGCTGTACTATCTTTAGAGTGTAGCACACTTTGAAGGATAAACACCTTGTTTAAGTTACAATTCAAGGGTGGAATTTGAAGATTTTCTCAGGTGCAATCATATTCCATGATTCGCCAAGGCAGAAGTGATTGTCAATCCCGGTTTGTTTAGCCTCTGGAGGCCGTTAAAAGCAAACTCGCTCTAAACTCTTTGCATGTACCTTATTTAGAAACTGAGGTAATTTCGTTGTAAAAGCTTTGTAATCACAAACTTTGAAAAAAAAAATGTTGCTGAAAGTTTAAATGTTTTTACAGGTTTCATCCTAGAGTTCAGCGGATTCAAAACCAAGGTGAAGGAGACTGAGGTAATATGCGAATTAACTTTCTTCGTCCCAATTTAAATTATAAGAGGGTACACTGGTGTACAAATGTTTTCTTTCGTAACCCGTCGTATTCGAAATCGCATGTACAACTTGGTTTCAAGGAGATATTGGCATCGATTGATTCGATTCTATTCAGAATCCTCTGAGAATAATCAATAGGATACGTCATTAGCATATATACTTCAAGCGACGACGGTTAAGGTGGCTCGATACAGTTTTTCAGGGTCAATACCTCCCAAGTTTGAGCATAAACTACGTCGCCAAAATCGAAGTTTTGGAAAAATTGCCACCACAGTTGTATTAGATAAAGATGCAAATTTGTTATGATCAAGGTTGCAACGGCATCGGAGTTGTCATAGCAACGAAATGACGCTATTACCTATTTTACTTGCAGCAGTATATCTCGGCACTGGGAACTGTTCTTCGAAAATCATTCACGGGAGCTTATTCCTCCAATAGCAGCCTCGATGTTCGTGAAGTTTAAGCGAAATCTGTAAGAGCGTTATCGAGATATTTTGGGATAAAGTTTTTATTGTTAGAAACACAGTAAAAAATGGACAATATTGTTGTTTGGCCGTTATCTGTAGAAAATGAAGCGCTTTCGACATGAAATTTCACCTCATAGTAGTTTCAATCTTTTTAAAAGCGTGTGTGAAAGATCATGGGAGATAGCTCCAGCCGATTGCTAGAAAGAAGGGTTTGATTAGTATGTATCGAAGGACTCTTGTTAGCGGTTTTGTAAACATTTTGGTCTACTTTAACAAATTAGCGAATAATTTTTAAACCGCTCGATAGATTTTTTTAAAAATTTAAGATTCTTGAGATTAACCTTCCTTTTATATGACCTTTTAGTTTCAAGATTATTGATATATTGTAAGACAGTAAAATAAGGGCTACAATTCGTTACTTTTTTATCGGAAGTTTCGTCATTACAAATGAAAGCCTCTAATTATTCAAGGCATTGTCTCCAAGTTTCATTTTCACGTGAACAGCAGTAACTAACAATGCATTTGAAATATGCTAAAATGCTAGCTATTGTTGTGCACGAAAATATGAAACTTGGACACAATACCCTGAATAATGAGAGGCTCACACTTGTAAACAAAAACTTTCTGCCAAAATATTAGCGAACTGTAGCCCTTATTTTACTGCCTTACAATATATCAATAATCTTGAAACTAAAAGGTCATATAAAAGGAAGGTTAATCTCAAGAATCTTAAATTTTTTAAAAAATCTATCGAGCGGTTTAAAAATTATTCGCTAATTTGTTAAGGTGGCTCGACTGGATTTTTTGGGGTTGATACCTCCCAAGTTTGAGCATTAACTACGTCGGCATGAGTAAAGGTATGGAAAAAAAGTTACCACAACTGTATTATATAAAGATGAAAATTTCTTATGATCTGGGTTTTATTGCAATCGGAGTCGCCATGGCAACGTAATGACGCCATTATGTTTTTCATTTATTGTTGCGTTTCTCTGTACCAGGAGTTTTTTGAAGAAATCGCTTAAGGGAGTATGTACCTGCCATAATTGCCTCCATTATGACAAAGTTTGAAGAAATTCTATGAGAGCGTTTTCGAGATATTTCGAAATGCAGTTTTAAGAATCATCAAGGCAGTGAAATAGCATGCTAGCCGCTCAATTCGCTAATATTTGAAGAAAATGATAAGCTTTAGGAACGCGGCTTCATCTCATAGTGGTTTGATTCCATTGAAAACTGCATACAAAAAAAGAGGGGAATTGCTCTGGGCGATCGCGAGTAAGAAGAATTTTATTAACTTGCATTCAGCTACTTCTGATACAGTTTTTGGAGGTAATTTGGTCCATGCCTAAAAATTTCGCATTTTTCCAAAAACCGCTCGATAAATTTTTTTATAAATTCCACAATTCCGAGATCAATCGTCAAGAAATATTCCCTGCAAGTTTAAAGGACATTGAAAACAGGGAAGGCTTTTAAATAGGGACTCAAACATAACCAATTTTCCCCACAGATTTTGTGTTTACAAGTGAGCGTCCTCATTATTCACTGGCATTGTTTTCAAGTTTCATATGCACGTGCACAACTAGCAAAAGATATAAATTTGCATCAAAAAGAACTCTCGATTACTTTCCGAAGAAATATCCGGTGTATGCTAATAATTGGCTTGTCATCACAGATAGCAGTGAGAACCGAAACGGTGAACGTCACGGTTCATCGTGTAGGATGCAATACTTAGTTATCTTACTCGGGTTATAACGTCACAGAAACTCTCACAAAGAGTTGTTCTGATGTTATAATGTATCACTAACCTCTTTACCCGGTAATTAGCATATCCCGGAGATTTAACCGAGGGTCCTTTTTGATGCAAATTCTATCTTTTTGCTAAATGTGCACGTGTATATGAAACTTAAAAACAATGCCAGTGAATAATGAGGACGCTCACTTGTAAACACAAAATCTGGGGGGAAAATTGGTTATGTTTGAGTCCCTATTTAAAAGCCTTCCCTGTTTTCAATGTCCTTTAAACTTGCAGGGAATATTTCTTGACGATTGATCTCGGAATTGTGGAATTTATAAAAAAAATTTATCGAGCGGTTTTTGGAAAAATGCGAAATTTTTAGGCATGGACCAAATTACCTCCAAAAACTGTATCAGAAGTAGCTGAATGCAAGTTAATAAAATTCTTCTTACTCGCGATCGCCCAGAGCAATTCCCCTCTTTTTTTGTATGCAGTTTTCAATGGAATCAAACCACTATGAGATGAAGCCGCGTTCCTAAAGCTTATCATTTTCTTCAAATATTAGCGAATTGAGCGGCTAGCATGCTATTTCACTGCTTTGATGATTCTTAAAACTTCATTTCAAAATATCTCGAAAACGCTCTCATAGAATTTCTTCAAACTTTGCCATAATGGAGGCAATTATGGCAGGTACATACTCCCTTAAGCGATTTCTTCAAAAAACTCCTGGTACAGAGAAACATAAAGATAAATGAAAAACGTAATTGCGTCATTACGTTGCCATGGCGACTCCGATTGCAATAAAACCCAGATCATAAGAAATTTTCATCTTTATGTAATACAGTTGTGGTAACCTTTTTTCCATATCTTTACTCATGCCGACGTAGTTAAGGCTCAAACTTGGGAGGTATCAACCCCAAAAAATCCAGTCGAGCCACCTTAACGTGGACCAAAATGTTTACCAAACCGCTAACAAGAGCGCCTCGATACATATTAATCAAATCCTTCTTTCTAGCAATCGGCTGGAGCTATCTCCTTGATCTTTTACACACGTTTTTAAAAAGATTGAAACTACTATGAGGTGAAATTGCAAGTCAAAAGCGCTTGGTTTTCTACAGATAACAGCCGAACACCAAGATTGTCCATTTTTTACCGTATTTCTAAGCACAAAATCTTTATCCCAAAGTATTTCTATAACGCTCTTACAGATTTCGCTTAAACTTCACGAACATCGAGGCTGCTATTGGAGGAATAAGCTCCCGTGAATGATTTTCGAAGAACAGTTCCCAGTGCCGAGATATACTGCTGCAATTAAAATAGGTAATAGCGTCATTTCGTTGCTATGGCAACTCCGATGCCGTTGCAACCCTGATCATAACAAATTTTCATCTTCACGTAATACAACTGTGGTGGCAATTTTTCCAAAACATTGTTTATGGCGACGTAGTTTATGCTCAAACTTGGGAGGTATTCACCCTGAAAAACTATATCGAGCCACCTTAAGCTTATAAATCAGTGATATCGATATAAACTACTTTCAATTATATTATATTAACCTGTTTTAACACTAAAAAGTGATTTTCTCGCCCTGCCAATGGCTAAAATTGACTCTTTGCTTCTCATTAATACAAAGTATCATTTATGTATGTGTAAACGCTTGTTACTTGCAAATGAGTTTTTCACATGAGTTGCTGATATTTTAGCAGCCCAGCTATGTTTAGACGCGCACGTCTTCTCTGATGAAAGCTGGGTGTTATTCATATTGCAATCACGTCTTAAATCACAGAGGACTCAAAAGGACATCCCTCATCTTTGCTGACGACAGATAAATGGCGTTACTCGTTATTGAGGGTCTATTCATTCATACAGAACGAAACTGATAAAAAATGCAATCACAATTAACAATAGTTAACATAATCATATACGAGAACGTATCAATATTTTCCCATAAGAACTTATTAGTTTAGTTTCTGGATTGAGAAATTCAGATTCTAATTTCTTAGGCTGGTACAGTAAGGCACAATTACCCTGAACAAAGGATTAACTAGTTGCCAAGTTTATAGATTACAATTTTGCAGTGGCATTTTTCTAGGGCGCTCAAATAAACCTCCTTAGGCTATGGATCTCCTAATACTGCTTAATGAAGCAGGATAGTGGACGGGAATAAGCATTTTTTTCATGCCATGTTCAGGAACAACGTTAACCCCATTTTCCTTTTTCTTATGTTAGTTTTAATCACTGTTGTAGTGTAGTTTGCAGTCAACCATACATTCATTAATTTTGTCGAGGCCTAAAAATGCTGGCAATGAGGGCGGGTGGATTCCTTAAGTGTTTTTATGGCAAACAACAGAACCCCACCAATCCAAGCATGCGCAAGTGTAACCGATTCAGTCAAATCAATCGATGAGAGCTAGATACGCATCAAATTGAAAATTGATTGCTAGGTTCAAATTCAAAGCCTATCCTCTGCGCCGAACTAGCCCCTTTTGTTCCAATTTTCGTGGTTAACATTATCCAAAACTCTTAGGTTTGTGGAAAGAATAAACAAGACTTACTGATGTCAATTTTTGAAGGGGATCCAAGCATTCAAGAAACGTTCAGTTTGCTCATTTTTTGTTTTGCCGTGGATGTCAGCTTTTCAGAATTACTTAAAGCGATACTCTATGTTCTCACTAGATGAGCGATAGTCGACCCAAAAGACCCATAACATGCATTTTCACTACCTCTTTGTACTCAGCTGCAAGACGTATTTGTATCATTGTCAGTTTTCTTTAGAAGTTAATTAGCTTTTACTACGCTAACTTCAATTCTCGATCCCGTTCCTACCCGGGGCTTCCATTTTGATTGACTTGGGCTTAGACTAATATGCTGGTAGACTTTCCACCTACCCCCCTCTCAATTTTAAGTAACATTGTCTTTCCTGTCACTCTATTTCTTTAGTGTCACTTATGATATTGGTGTAGAAATGGCTACGGCTTCATCACCATCAGCTGCAGATGAAGCATTACGTACAACAGATGAAAAAGCTAATTTTCAGCGGTTGACACGACTTCTGATGCGTGGAGGTCTCGCACTTTTAAGGGAGGTGTTTGACAGTATCCATCCCCCATCCAACCTTCCAGCTGTGCTTGGCAACATTCACATAAAGTCAAAGCTGCGAACACTGAAAGGAAGAGTCCTTACACAACCCGAATGGAACTGCCTTTACAACCCAAGTGGGCCAGGAACGTATGGAAAGTCGACTGATTTTGATATCAGCTTACTTTGTAAATTGTTTCGAGAAACATGCGGCCTCACTCCTCCTGCAACTGGATGGAAAGATTTACCTAACATCACTGATCACAGTCTCGGGGCCGACTTGGTTAGAATCAGGATTTATCGTAACAAAATTTATGGTCACAACCACACTATGGAAGTAACAGATGCTGATTTTGGGAAGCTTTGGATGGAAATCAGTGAGGCTCTACTGAGACTTGCTAGCAGCATAAGTAGTGCAAAGAGGGATGAGTGGAAGAATTCCATCGAAACGTTTTTCCACGAACCACTAACACCAGACGCAAAGAAATGTGTTGATGAACTTCGATCGTGGTACTTAGTGGACATGGATACCAAAGATAAGCTCGAAAAGCTAGATAAGAAGATGGAACAGATGCAAGTTAAACTAGAACAAATAAAAAATGAACAAGAACAAAGACAAGAACAAAGACACATGGAAATTCTCATTTTCCTTGAAAGTCTTAGGGCAAATGGGTCAGCTGTTAGTTCATCCGCACAAGTGGAAGGCGACCAATTGGCATTTGAACGTCTGGATACAAGTATATCTCTACCCCCAGAGCAGTCATCAGCAGAAGGTACTGCTGGCGTATCCACACTAACGGAACTGCAAGCAAGTCAGCAAAATATTCCAGTAGTTCTTGATTTCTGGAATGTTGTTTATTCATTCAAGAGGCCATTAGAGCTCTTGATCAGATACCTGAAATTAAAGCTTGGAGTTGACGTTCAAAGCTACAGACTAGGAAGCTTGGTCATAACAGTGTGCTGCAGTTCTTTAGAAGTTCTTGAGGCATTGTGGAACGCATATCGGACTGGCCGTCTTAACGAAATGGTTCAAGATACTCTTGTAACCAGACAGGTTCTTGAAAAACTTGACCTCAGTGAGGTTAAACTGAGAACTATTATTTCCGAGCAAGACTACTTGTCGTACAAAGGTTTTTTGAACAACAGACAAGGTAATAATAAGAGGTCTTCAAATGGCTCTGGTTAATTTATTGTTTTAAAAACTGTGACCTTTAAACTTGTGTGATTGGTAATTTTGGCTCAGTCGCTTCTTATATATATGACCATGTTTGTGATGATAGCGGAGTTACGCGTGCGCAAAGCCGTGCGCCAGCAAAGCTCTCTATATCCTTTAGGTAGATCATTCCTTTTTCTCCACATACGAACATCGTTACAGCCAATCATTTCAATGTGTCACATTTACCATGGTATAGTCTTATGTCATTTCATGTCATGTAATTTTATTTCATTTCATTTCATCCGTCTCCACCCCTTAACCGTACATTTCAGACTACTAAAATTTCTGTGCTCTTTCATTCTCTTTAGGTAAAACCGAAACAAAAACTTCCCAAGAACCAGCCGTTTTCGCCTCTAAGCTTCCTGCAGGTGAGATAGATGTTGTGGTTCACAAATAAACATTTACATTAAAAGCATCACGTTTACGGCAAACTGCAAAAGTGAGATTCAACTTGAGAAATTTTCAAAATGAGAAATGAGCAGATAAAAACAGCTTACAACAATCGTAATGGAAGAATTTTAGTGAACCTACCGATTTTCCTGTAGTTATAATGAACAGTAAACGATAAGTAAATGGAAAACTTGGTCACCAGGTGGAAATTCACGTTTGCCGTTTGTCGTAGACGCGATGCTTAAAGGGACAGGTTCACGGTTAAGCACATGCTCATTAATGAAATTACTTTTTTCCAATTTTATATTACTTCGATCTCAGAGTGTATTTCAAAGTAGAAGTGTATTTCAGAGTAAACTGAAGTAGGATGCAGGAGTACTAAAATCTCAGAAAACACCAGTGGATTGTATGCCAACACTACCAACCGGACGACGATCGAATAGTATCCCATGATGCATTTTTCCAGACGCACACGCAATAACGCAGTCATGGCAGATTCCATCGTGAAATAAGGTCGTTTTCTCGTCGGCTTTTTTCTCATTTGTGTTCCAGTAAAAGTACGAAAATGCATTATTTTGTTATTTAACATGATTTCTCCGATTTGCAATGGCTTAAGAGCGAAGTTTCCAGATAGAAACATTTATTTTTATTGTTTCACTTAGTCTTCGCATCACAAAGTGTTCAATGACCTACAACAAGGTCATGAATATTCGCCATTTTTTGGATTATAGCGGGGCTCCCTCGCGCGCGAAGCGCGCGTGGGACAGAGCCCCATACTCATGGAATATGGTCAACCTCTTTTCTTTTGGTTGTCACGTGACTGACCGAGCGTACGTACGTACGTACGTACGTACGCGTCTACAGATTGGACGGGTAGGGTAGGGGAGACCATCAAAAGGAAGGGAGGGGTGTCTCAGGCGTGTCTTAGCAAATCCACATCTTTTACATTGGCCATTCACGATATGGTCAATTGACAGCTGTCAAAACAGGATAGCCACTGACCAGTATCACATTGCCATATCGGGGGCTCATGTGTCAACTCATCAAGGTGACGTGAGTTATTTGGAAGCTGTCCGCTGACCAGTTGTTTTACTAGATCGCGATCAATATTCAATCTCATACTTTCTAGCTAGTTTGTGAGCACAGGAAAACTGATAATGCACACATCCATTAGACATCAATGTTTTGATCAATTGACAGCTGTCAAAACAGGGTATCCGCTGACCAGTATCACTTGACCGTATCGCGGGCTCAGGTGTTAACCCATCGAGGTCAAGTATTTTTTTGAAGTTATCCGCTGACAAGTTTCTAGTTTTCAAATGATCGCAGGCTCAAGTTTGATTTTTTTTTCATTCATATGAAAATGTTTTGTTTTTGGGCCGCACAATTAAAATTTTGATTTAAAACTGACCTCGGACCCGAAAATTCAGCCAGCTATCACAGGCAAGACAGTTGCTTTTGACTTTGCTCACCATGGTCACGCGTTGGTCACGCTCTACGTCCATTTTTTATGCTCTTTTTGGTCAAAATTTGACAGGTGAGCTCATGCGGAAAACTTATGCAGCATCTTGAATCTTGTTTACTTTGACAGCTGAAGCTGGGAGAGTTTTGTGTCAACTTGTGATGTTTTTAACTGTCTTTTTTCACTGGATGCACAAAATGAAATTTAGCTGCTATCAGGAGCCTTCTGTTATTCATGGTTAGTTGGTTTTTGGTTGAGAAATTAATACATCACTTGTCAAAGTCGGGAATCCGATTTCGGATGTCAACGTTTTTGTTTTTCACCTTGCTTGATGCGTAAAGGTTGAAAACTCTGAAGCGATACTGGCCTTACTTGATACCTTTCAGGAGCTGCATCTCGAATGGTAAGCCTCAGTAATTATTGTGTTTGATGTTTGTTTTTTTATATCTAATTTAAAGAAGTCGAGCGTAGTTTATGCGGCTATGTAGTTTATGCACGTTTGTAAGATTTGAGACAATTTGATCTGACCAAGAATCAGGTAAACTTGATATAAGCTTACACAACTTTAAAAAGTCTTTAGACATTTTCTCACCGCAGATAGAAAGAAAACGTTCCAAAGAACATTTAGTTATAATTCTGTCGTAAAAGAAAGCTTCGAGCGATTTTCTTGCCTCGAGTTCATCTGTGAAAAAAGTAAATACCGGGAAGCCGGTTTTTAAGCTTGAAGACTCAGGATTTTTAGAGACACTTTAATATTTGTCTTCGTGAATGAAAAATGTTGTCTCTGTATATGTTTCGCCGAATTATATTTCCTTTATTGATTGTTGGTAGTCTCTCTTGTAATTTTCATCGCTTTGCCGTTTGTTTTCAGGCGTTCATAAACATCGCTTGCAGGAGTACTCAAAATGCCGCGCGTATCAAACGCTTTTAAAGATTACAGATCGATAAAACCATTAAATAAAAAATAAACATAATAATTTCTTTATTATGTTGGAGCTTAACTCTAGTGTGTTCGTTCAAACATTCGCTACAGCTCGCACTGCAAAAGTGAGAACCGGCTGGCTGTATATGTGATTTTGGACATTTTTTTAACGGTTTAGCTAAAAGGCCACGCGTGCTTCGATCGTCCTGAATATTGAATGAGTGCAATTTCTGTTGCAAAATTGTGAAATACTGAATTCTGTCCGAGGTCTGTATGATAAAAACAGTACCTCATAGTACTGTTTCACCTCAGATGTGATGTATAAATGGTATAAAAGGTTGGTTTACACGCAACCAGATTTGTTTGCAAGATTTTGTAAAGTAAACTTGTCGAACGCAAAAAAATTCAACCTGATTTTTTTTCCAGGCCTAATTAATCTTACGGTGACAAGAGCCATTATGGCTCTTAAATGTGATCGAAGATGATTGCTATTTTTTGGGTGTACATATGAGGTTATCAACTCGATGTAAGATTTTGTTCACTCTTGGGCTATTTGCAAATTATTTTTCTCTAAAATCACTTAGCCTTTCCCTCAAAAGTCACATGAATGTGCTATGTGCTCTAAAGTTAACTGAATTGTGGAATTCAAGTTTATTTTTTGATTTAAATTATAAATATATAATGGGAGCCTCGCTTTTAGCCCTGGCTAAATCTATATATTATGTTGAAGTCTTCCAAATGTGGACCTCACGCCAGCAAAATGAAGTCCTTAATATTGTACTGGCTAAGAAGTACCCAGAAGTACCCACATTTTGAAGACTTTTTTGTCGACCAAAGATGGTAGCCTGAATTTCATACGATTACTTTGAGTCATTATTACTCCCTCAGTAACGTCTGAATCGACCGGCCGTTAACGCCGTCCAGTGACGTCACTACTCCTTGACTGGAAATGTCTGCATGATACAGAAATGCTTAATTTTTTTCGATGGTAGTTCATTTTTAACGTTCAAACTATCAACTGTATTAAGTACAACTCTGAACCGGTTGTACTGAATTCTGTAATCAAACTCGGTCGCAATCACGCAATGAAGTAAACACACACACGGAAGACTTAGTTCAAAAACACAATGATTTGCTTTAATTGAAAAGAAGCTATTTGGTCCTTAACGAAGAAAAAAAACAAGAAAACAAGAAAGAAAAGCTAACAGAATCATTACACTTGACGGTAAAAATGGCAAGAAGGTCGAAGTATAATATTGATCTCAGAAAACTTCGCGTAAACAAAATCACCGGCTGCCGAAACCACAAAGCGGCTCCAAATGAAAAACCTACCGACTCTCCGCACAGGTAGCCCAAGCTTACGATGACAGCCCTGAACAACGTTATTCTACTTAGCTAATTAATTATTCATACGACAACGGTTATAAGACGTTGTATGAAAATTATCTGATTTCTCCATAATTGAGCGAAACGTACACAAAACTAGCAAAATGTACATTGAATATCGCTTTGAAGCTCACCTTTAACGTCTAATTGTTTTTCTTTGTATTCTGACTGCATTTCAGACCTCCTAGGCACTGTTTAATGCCTTTTTTTGAGCGACAGTTTTTCACCCAGATGACAGTGGAGAAAAGAGAAGAGAAGGTTGGCAAACCTTTGCCTAGTCCCTAGGCCTCATTATTATGCACGGCCGATGCGTTTCGGGTCACGTGGTCCGAGAAAGGTTTTGAGGCCTAGACAAACTCGGAGAAGTGAAACATTTTGTCTCACTTGGGGCGGAGCTTTTGGAAGCGGGCGAGCTGTCAATAACTTTTCCGCGCTGATGAAAGATGTCTAGTAGTCTGCTACACAGCCGTTTTTAGAGTCGTCACGCAACGCTTCTCCCCACTAACGGCTGCTGAAAACCGAACTACATTCCTTTCCCGTGATTAGCCAATTATAATTCAGCTCCCATTTTCTGGAAGGTGTTCGCGCCACGTTTGCGGTAGTGTGACTCCTCCAATCACAGCTTTCCTTTTATCGGTGCCCAATGTGTGAGTGACAGAATAATCAAAATCATCGCGTGAAAACAAGCAATTAACTACAGTAGTGTTGTCGTAGTCGAGTCCTATTCAAAATTTAGGAGATAAGCAGCAGCAGCAAGCAAGTCGAGTAAATTGCGATGCACAACATGGATGTGCTCATAAAGTTGCCAGGTATAGTTTCGGGAAATCGCTCATCGACAATTTATAAGATTGCTTTTTGAATCAGTTCCCTTGAGAGTTCAGTATTCACTGAACACAATGAGCACATCCGGCACATTAAATCTTTATTACATATCAGTCGGGGATATCAGTACATATGCACGTTAAATGAAGAACCAACCGATCCTGGTAAAAGTCTTCTACGCCTACCAAACCTTTTTTTCACTGGGAACTTTCTTGACCGCTTAAAACAAACTTTTTTGCAAACTAACCTTTTCGTTGCTTCATAACACAGAGGCCGTCTAATTTCAGCGACGATTGATTGATTTGTCGAAAACTGAGAAGCGTGCTCGCTTCCTAGCGCCCTGCGGCTCACTTATTGTCAAATCACTTATACATGATTGGCTTGTTCGTTAGACCACAAACACAAAGGGAAAGGA